GGATGAATGATTACAAGGAGAATGCTATTGAGATGTGCAAAGTAAACCAAGTCGTTTGACTCTGTTAACCATCACCAATTAATATGCGTTATTCTATTGTTGTTTTTTCAAGAGGTGGCGTTTATCGTGCAATAGCTCTAATCTTAAAAGGAAGCGGATGCTGCACAAGACCGTCGGTTCTGCCGGCAGGGAGAGCTGTGACGCCCTCTGGTAGCTGAAATGTGAAACGCTGCAACAGGTTCGCCATGACAGTAAACATCATGTCACGAGCGAGTTGCATGCCGGGACATATTCGGAAGCCGTTGCCAAACAGCATAATCTTTTTATCAGGTGCTACGACGACACCGTTCTCATCCAGATACCTAGACGGGTCAAACCTCTGCGGCTGTGGGAAATTGATGGGATTCATAGCCATCTTGGCGTGGTTGGCCATTAGAACGGTATCCTTTGGTATATCAAAGCCTCCTAAGGTGGTATCAGACAATGCACCGCGTACACCAGGTATCGGGTCAATCATTCCTACACGCTGAATCTCCCAAAGCGTAGCCTCCAAGTAGGGCATGTTGGGGCGATCCTTTGTCGTCGGCGCTCTGCCGGTGCCGACGACCTCGTCGATCTCAGCCTGCAGCTTCTTCTGCACGTCTGGATTCTGCACAAGCAGCTGAATGCCCCAGTCGGTGGTAGCAGTGACGCTATCAAACCCGGCACCCTGTAAATCATCCAACACACAACAGATGTCGGTGTCGGACACCATCAGCTTGCCCGTCTGTTGCTGGATTAGCAGGTGGTCGAGAAAATCGCGTGGACTTGACTCGTTCAACGTTTGTCGGTGTTCCTCGAGTAATTTTATGTGCCAGTCTATCATCGTTTGTACGAGTCTTTTTAATTCTTTGGCTTTACCGCTGGTAATGTAAGCGAGCGATGGAAACCAGTCCACAAGCAGACATGATCCTAGCGTCAACCTTAAAGTAAAACGATACAAGTTTACGGTACAGAGCCCTTCCTCCTTTTCTCTCTCTCACTCTCTATTTCTTTTATTCGTTTCTTCCTCATTCCCTAACTCTCCCTCTCTCCCTCTGATTACCCTTCCATCCACCCTTCTTTCCTCCATTAACTCCTTCTTATTTGCACTCGCTCTCTCATTTCTCCACTTCTCTCTCGACTGTTTCCTCGTTTACTATTTTTTTTTTTTTTTTATAATGCTTTATTTCCAGAACCATGATTATATACAGTACATACATACAGA